AGTGAAAATGAGCTAAGTTATATTAAACAAACAATTTTTTTCTTTATTATAAGCATTATCAATTTATTGAATCGATGAATATTCATTTCTTCTATGATTTCCTTTTTCCGGTCATGAAGAAGTCTACATTTATAATTGTCGAAAAAGAAGTAATGAATGACCTTGTTCATGAAATATTTGTACAAGATTTTCTTTTGTTAATTGTTGAATTTCTTTTTTTCTTCTTCTGTGATATGATCATTTTATTCGATTGATCTCCTATATTAATCATTCCGTTGAATTCGATTACTAGTATCATTCGAATGAATCTCTTATAGAAATATTTCATTTTGAAAATAAATTTCGACTTTATTATCTAATATTTAATAGGAAATAAATTGTTTATTTCATTTCGATGTTAATATTTGTTAGAAGGACTGGTCATAAATTAATTTATTACCGTTTTCACCGAAATCAAGTAAATTTTCAAAATATCAATAGAAAAATTCATCGAAAGATCAAACATGAAACATCAAATATTCGAAGTTTTTTTTTTTTAAGTCCATTAAGTTCGATTGACAACAGATAAATAAAATATTTCTTATTAACATCAATTTTCATTTTGATCACATTGAAAGATAATTATTTTAATTAAAAAATGTTTTTTTTTTTTATGACAGTTAGACAAAAGTAAGATCTCCTAGGCTATCAACACTATCAATAAAGACATTGCTTGCTGAATATGTAGACATTAATTTTCATTCGTTGATTCACACGAAATAAGTGTTTTTATATACCCTCAAGAATTTTATTACAGATGAAATTAACAATAAATATGATGTTATAAATTTACAAACAATAATGAATGGTTTAGATTTTTTAAAGTTAATATTTAATGAAAAAAAAACAATTTTTAGAAAAAACAAATATGTCCTTGTTTCAGCAACATAAGTTTGCATGGTTATAATTATGAGTGACAAGTTTTTAAAAACAATGTTTCTTTTGAGGTTTACAACAGAATGTAACATGTGTGGGTGTCCTTGGCCTTTTTGTTCCTTGTATATCGGCTTTTTTTTTGTGCCGATGAATGATTCATATTTTGTGTTCTCTGCTTCTTGTCTTTCTCTCTTTGTCGAGTCGAGACAACAAAATGACATATAACGCAATTTTTCGTTGCTTTTTTCTTTTCGTTGTTCTTCATCTCCAATCTATTAACATTGTCCTCTCTTCGTCTACAGGGACGACGATGACGATGACGATGACTAAATAAACTTCAGCCAAGTTGCAATTAAAGTTTGGAACATGAATGAACGATAGAAAAGAAGAATTGAACCTTTTCTTCTGTTTGCCTCCGTGCGACAATAAGACGAAGCGGAGGCAAAAGAAAAAGTTCATATTCTTTCTCTTTTCTATACTTACGGGCAAATTACACTTCTTTCAGTCGGTCGGCCCGTTAACGAGCAAGCAGTAAGCGAACATAGGAAGCGCGCGCGTGTGGCATATATTTTTCGATCTTCATCCGTGCTATACTACCTTTTATGAGACCACATAGAAAGAGAGAGAGACTAAAAAGAAAAAGAAAAAGAAAAAAAAGAAAAGAAAGAAAGAAATGAGTTTCTCTCGATGTATAGTCAAGTCAGTGTCAACGATATGCATTGAAAAAGAAAGAAGAACATAAACAGGTAAATTGTCACATCCATTTTTTTTTTTCATCAATTCAATTGATCTTTTCTTTCTATTTCTGTTCCTCTTGAAAAAAAAAAATCTTTGCATCAATGGAAGACTGTCTAATGCGAAACATGTTATAAAGTCTTGAAAATATATTTGAAGAAAAAGTCGAATCATCATATGACGATCTTTTTTTTTTCTTTCTGTCGTAATAATTGATTCATATCTTTCAAAAATTACTAATTCATTTTTTTTTTCTCATCATATTAATGTGTGACCACAGAAATAAATTGAATTCGAAATATACAAAATACAGATGAAAGAAAATGTGCAAGAGAACGAAAAAAAAAAATTTATTGATTTTAAAATTTTCATGAAAACGTAATAGACAGAGAAGAAAATTAAACATAGTCTTACACTATACTAAATGTTACATAGGAGTTGAATCATATATGAATATGTTCATGAAGTGATATGAGTAATATCTTTTTTTTTTTTTGTTCTTCTTTGTTTTAGATAATGAAAATGACAAAATTTACGATAGTTCTTCATTGTTTTCTAATATCTATTTTATCAATAAATTCTCAGCAACTTCAATGGATTTTACTCAGCGATGGTTCAAGTCCAGATACACCAATGCCAAGACGTGATGCTGCACTTGGTTTTGATTCATCATTTCTTATTTTATATGGTGGTCGAGATCAATCTGGAATGCCTCGTCAAGATACTTATGCATTCAATATTCTTCAAGGTTTATCAAATCTAATCATATGTCATTTTAAATATAAAATCAATATTTGCGTATTTTTTGTTTTGTAGGTATGTGGGAACCACTTAATTTTCCAAATGCACCATCTCCTCGTTATGGTATGGCATCGGCTAGTTCAATAGGTAGTGGTTTATATATATATGGTGGTTTTGGTATGCAAGGTTCATCACAATTTTATAATCCATATTCAGCTTATGGACAATCAGGACTTGCAAGTTATAAACAAAATCCTGCCGGATCAGATAAACAAAAGGCAAAAACTATAAATAAACGAGATGCACCTGCTGCTATGCATAAACAAAATCCAGGAGTTATGAATAAACAAATACCTAATCCAATGAATCCTATGGGACATAATAATTATAATGATGATGATGATCGTACTGATGAAAATTTTTATGCATTACCAGATTCTTGGTTTCTTAGTTATGCGTTAGTATTTTTTTTTGTTTTAAAGAAATATTGACTATTGTTTTTTTTTTCTTCTTTTAATTAGAACAAAAAGTTGGCAACAAACACAAACATCTCAATATGGACGTGGTTTTGGTTCAGCAGCTGCTACACCATATGCAAGTGGTTTACCAAGAATTATTTATAGTATGGGTAAATCACGTGATTGGATGTATTCAACTGTTGAAACAAGTGGTCAAGTTACAGCAGGTTTTAGTCCAATTGGTGCAGGACAACCAGCTATAAGTAAATTTGTTTTTTTTTTTTTTTTGACATGTAAAATTAATAAATATATTTTATTTTGTCAAAAATAGTTATGTATGATTTATCTTCATTTAATCCATCGTATCCACATGCTCGTTACGGTCATTCAACAACATTACTCACAGAGAATCATCTTCTGCTTTATGGTGGTTGTCTAAGGTAAAAGAAAAAAAAAAAAAAAAAAGTCAAATTAGTCATCAGTTTGACTCATTCAAAAATTTTTTTTTTCTGTTCAATGATTCATTTCTTTTTTTTTTATTTTATTTATCTAGTGGTTATGGTAAAGGTGGTCCATGTCCATCAAAAGATTCATGGTTATTATATATTGATCGTGGACATTGGGAACGTCTTTGGGAATGTCCAACAACAAAAACAGGTGCTGCTATGGTTACACTTCCATCATATAGTGTATGTGCATCAATGGGTCAAGGAATATTTGGTGGATGGTCAGGAATTAATATAGGAAATGATCCACCAGTAGCTGTTTTATGGGGTGGTCGAGAATTTAATCCATCATCTATTCGTGTAAGAATTTAATTTTAATAAAGATTAATGATTGAATATGATTTTTTTTTTTTGTTGTTTAGTCTTATATAAGTCCACCTGATGAAGTTGCTGTATTTAGTTTAAGTCAAAAAGAATGGTATTTAAAAAGAGTACGTCCATCTTCAACAGTAAGTTTAAATAATTTTCAAAATAAATTCTTTTTCTTCTTCATCCGATATAATTCTACAGTTCTTCTACTTCATTTTTCTTTTCTTAAAATAAATAAATAAAAAACATTTCGGGTTAGTTTTTCTATTCTTTCGCTGATTTATTTTATTTTGTTTTTCAATGTATATTGAGATAAAGCATGATTGTATTTGCATGAAAAGCTGCCTGTATTTTAATTTTAATATGAATATATATATCTATATATGTATTAAGATTGTATTATTTCATTATACCAGGGTAATTTTCCAATGCAACGAGAAGGTGCTGCTTTTGTTGCTGGATGTTTTCAAGGTGCACCGGGTATGTTTGTTTATGGTGGACGAAGTGTTAAGTAAGTATTTATTAATAAAATAATTCATAGTTGTTATGAAAAATTAAGTTTTATATTCTTCAACTCTGACTATTTGATGGACATCGAAATTATATATTGAGATCTCAGATTGCCAGTTTTTAAGAGAATTGAAATTGAATCCAAATAACAAGGATTTTGTTTGATAGATGTTTTATTCTTGAATCATTGAAACTTATCGAATAAATATGGAAGAAGAAATTTGAATATGAGTACTTACGATTAATTTTCGACGAACATCTAAAACTAAATATGAATTATTATTCTTCTATGAAAGTCATAAAAATATAATACTTTGACAATCGTTTTTGTTATCTTAGCATTTACTACTCATTTTTAAGATTAACATTTGTTTATTTAAGAAAAAAACGTATTTATAGGGCATACTAAAATTAATGGCGCCGACATTATACAATCTTATAGAAGACTCGAGGAAATTTTTTTTTCTATATATACTGATAGCTCAAATCGAGCTCTATATGTTCTAAGTAATTATTGTATGTTTCTAACAAAAGGAAAAGGTTTCTCGAATTTTACATGCCACATAAAGAATTCATTAGATAATCAACTGATTTATATGATAAAGCATAAAATCAACACATAGACATTTTTTCAAAAGTTCAATAAGTGAAATGATATGTTTCTTTTCATCGAGTACTCGAACTTTCAATGAGTAGCCAATAGGATACAGTTTTTGAATACTCAAAATCAAATGGTTATCGAGAGGTTAAACATTGGAATAAAATGAATAAAGAAAGTATATACTTCAAAATTTCGATCCTTCGTATATTTTTTTCAAAGTCTACTAGAGTCTTGCAAATCTCTTTAACAAGAATTTCTTTTCATTTATAAATTAAAGTTTCTTTATTTTTGTAAGATTTACTTAGAACAGATTTTTAAATCTAATCTATTTTATAGTAATCGTCGTTTACTTCTTAATGATCTTTGGTTTTTACAAGCATCACCACAAGATGCATTAAGTTCACCTGGTTCACGTGGATGTATTTATCCATTTTCATTTTATCATCTTCATGGAATATTTCAATTTTTTACTTATGGTGTAATCTTTCCAATTGGTTATTTAGTTGGTCGACATGCCATAAATTTATCTGTTAGACGACCATTACATATGGCTTTACAAGTAAATAGATATTTAATAG